GTGTCAATTTTGAATTTCTTATTCAGTTTTAGATGGATTTTCAGAAAAAAGATCATACGTGTGATGGTGTATAATACGTTTGTTTGAAATATTATTGCAAGGAAACAGAATAATTTCAATTGTGTGCGTTGTTCGCATATCAACTCGTCATCATCATCAAGTGAAAGATCTGCAACAGAAATCGGCGATCACGATTCACAATTCAATCATTTGCTCGAACGCTCTCTAAAAGTTAAAATATTATGATATTATTATCCTGATCTTTCCCCGTCACCGATCTATTCCGATTTTCCAAGTAAATTGCTGAGGGTCTACCCTTGCCTCGCTTATGCCTGCAATCTTACCCGTGAGTGCTAGATAGATTTTTCAGTTGTCTCAGAGACTGAATTTATTGTTTTATCTTTAATCAGAGAGCGACCCACGTGGGCTTCGTAAAGTTCTACCTCATTTGATGTCTTTTTCTTCCAAGAAATTCTCAACAGTCTCCTAAGTAAAAACGCATTTTCGGTGCTTCTATTTCCCCCCCACTGTCTTTGGTGGCTGTACAGAATTCACAGCCGTATTGAAACGTTGACCTCACTTAGCCTTTTATAACTTTGATTTTGATAGTCATTGAGATATTTCTGTTTTTCTGTTTTGGGTTCATTTTATTGAAACAATTTTTAGCTGCAGCATTTTGTTGTTTTATTTCTGTGAAACATTTGGCATCTGGTATAATGTTATAATCATTATTATGTCCTAGATGTCGTAATTGCTGAACTTGCTTGACCGTTTCACCTTTGCTTATGAGAATATGCTTGTATCTATATAGGGCTGACTGGAGCATCATCGCTCCTCGGCCTTTTGGCTAAAATCAAAGTGTAGTATATATATTCCCGACTTTTCGGTCTTGCGCTTGATACGGGGCAGATACTACAGAAGTTGCAGATTATGTCCAGTTGATGGCAATGTCCTCTTTAAAAAAAGACTGGCTTGTTTTGTTTTTTCCTTTCGATTTGTTTGTTTGTTTGGGTCTTTGGGTATTTTTCAGATACATACATTTAACCCTTTGTTAGTGCCTACGTTGGGACGAGCATGACGTTGGCGGTACAGTTTGGCTGGTAGTATAACGGAATAGCGCAGATCGCCATCTTTATTAGCGGTGTACGCTAGCCGTACTGGTCAACACTAGAGACAATAATATGTGGCCTGTCGTGACTCATCTAGGTCTGTCTTGCATGATTGCCACGCGCACGGGGTAAATGAGTAGCAACGAATTACATGTACAGCTCAGCAGAAATTAACGTGAATTCAAATTGAAAACTTCTGCCGGATCGGAAGCTAAGCTTTATGAGTCAAGGACCCTGTAGACATCCAGTGCTTTTACTCGGTACTCGTAAATCCTAGGGAAATCTCAGACCTTTCAGGTAGACTTGAGTGTGAGCCCTTACAATACAACATCCTCACAGGAGCCCGCGAATCTTTTTGGTAATGAGGCTGATATCAAGCGATAACAGACATTTTGCCACCCGGTCAAGGTGGCACAGTTCCTTTGAAATTTCACCAGTCGACTTTAAAATGTCATTTCAGTTTCTTTTTAAAAAATCAAATATTTGCCAAAGCCCAAAAATAATGATATTTGCATGATAAACTCAATTATTAAATAGGAGCAATTCGGGAACAAACGCCGGAAATAGTCCACACTCACAGAAACGTGTGTGTGAGAAAGATAATATTATAAAGCAGCCACTGTTGGGTTCCGTGCACTGTGTGTACTGTACCTCTGATGGCTAGTTCGCTGGTGGTATATTGGGGCAAAATTATAATAGTTTGATGAGTACCGTAAAACTCAGACAGTTAGCGGATGGCGGATGGCTGTGTAAAGCAAATACTATTTGTAAATAGGCGTGCACTTTCCATTATAACAGTATTCAAAAGCAATACATTATTGAAGGTCGTTTTCTGAATGTGCTATTTAAACTGTGTCGTTGGTATATTTGATATTGTTGATACATGTTTTTTCGCCATTCACTTTGAGACCTGAACATTAGTCTATATTCCAAAGTACTTTTCACGTATGTACAGCCCTATGTTAAAAGGGTCTGGTGATATAACGCACCCTTGTCTCACTCACTCGTATGCTCTAAGAGAGAAGATACAAAAATGCCCATACTATCAGTTTGTAGGAGACCTACCGTTTTGGGCTGAATTTTAAATCACCGCTAGCTTTGACATCGGATTCGGGGATTCGTATAATCTGAGAGAGTTTTATTCATATACGTGTACTCTGTCACTGCCCATTAGTTAATGCTGTTTTATGAGGGTACAGAAGATAGTCATAACTGCGTTAATTTAGCCCCTCGCAAGTCCCACTCTGGGGAAAGATAGGCCTTATCTTTGCCCATCTGTTTTCTGATGCAACGATGCAACCAATACATTTCCTCCGTTCTTACCGCGAAACCGAGTTCCATTATTCTTTTCCTCTCTTTCTTTCACGCTGTTGCTCATGGAATTGTCAGTCAGTGACTATAATTGCTCACAGCTGACAATAGCAACCAATATAACGCAAACATTTTTGTCGTTTTGTATTTAACACTTCTCTAAAGGACGCCATACGAGGTGACAATTTGCAAAGACAGGTACTCTGAAGGGTTTGATGAATACGTTACTCTACAGAACAGTTATTTTAAAACATTCCACATGACCTTATGCAGCAGCGAGCACCGTAAAACACTTACGCAAACAAAACAATTTAAAATGAAGCCTGGATCTTCTAATTAGCAATCAGATCAGTTAAAGATTTTTACATGATTACTATTGATTACTTCCCAGTAGAGATAAAAGTGTCTTTCAAAACAAAACAAAAAAGAAGGTCACTTCGTTTACCTTGATCCTATAAACTATAATGCAGGTGAGATGAGAGTATTGAGAGATTAAGCTACGCATTCTTATGAAAAAAGGCCAACTTTTTAGGCTGAAAAGAAATTCTACCACACACTCATGTACCTGTACTGGCCATTAAAAAAAAGGATACCGCGTTTTGATTGTGTAGTCTTTTGATACTTTACACTTTTCCTGTCACGAGAGTAATACTAAGTTCCCTAAAAAGTAGACCATGAATTATAAATAATACTAATTTTTAAAAAACTACGACCCAAAAACAACACACACACACACACACACACACACACACACACACACACACACACACACACACACACACACACACACACACACACACACACACACCATTTTGATGCTTCAATTTGTGTTCTAAGTAAAAACTTTAAAAACTAGAACATTGGCATTCCCCCCCCCCCCCAACCATGTGAGGGCATCTTTTCTATAGTGCGGTCAAAAATTCGTGACGGAACTTATCCTCAAATAATATCTGTATAACGGATGAATCAATGTCACCCCTACTTTGGACAGCAGTTCGTCTCAATTTGTCTTAACTTAATCAAATTTTTCCGCAACAATTGCGGCTAGATTAAAAACCTTTCTTCATAAATTTATATAAAATACTAGAAACTTCCTTCATTCGGAAAATACATGTAGAATGTTCACAGCACTTCCTGCTCCTCTCACGCATATGGGTTACGTCACAGCTAACAAATGACACGTTTCAGTGGCCAAACTAGTTACAAGAAATTAAATTTATTATGAACACATATTTTGCTCTTAAAGTTCTCAAAGCATACCTTCAATAAAGATAATCTTAGGACTGAAAAAAAAAAATGTCGGACTTGCTTTTAAAAGCGATATCGTCCCAACTGTAAACCTTTTAAAATCAGTAGAAATAGAAACCACCCTCTAGGATTTTTATTAGTATTTATTAGGGAATTTTCTAAAAAAAAGAACTAACAGGTCTTTACAAAAAATATTGATCTGTTAAGACAAATTGATAATCTACAAGTCACAGTGAAAAAGCTGGAGAGTTTATGTTTTACAGTTGAGGAGATATTTGACAATAATTCGCCCCACGAATTTTTGACCGCACTATAATTCCTTTTTATGACACTTTGGTTTTTGTTTACAAAAAACATCTGAAAAATTCCTGTTCATTGTCACCCAAAAAAGATGGTAGATTTAACTCAACATCAGAGAAATCGGGCAATCGTCGTGCACTGCGCGTATCTCATGTTTTAAAGGCATTTAACGTCAGTTTTTCGGTGGACGTTGAATGTCTTGGCAACAGTAGAAACGGATACGTTAGAGGAGAACATACAGATGGCTCGGTGTTTCTAAAGTTGTGTTAAATCTGCTACGTGTACCACCATTTTCGAAATGACAGTGATCATGTGTTGTTGCGAATTTTGATCAACACAGAACGAAACTTCATTGATTAAAAACAAAAACACTAATTCAAGCAGGAGAATATTGTTTTTTCAACACTACCTACTTTTTAAAAAAGAGTACATGTACTTAATACATGTATAACTCGCCTGAAAGGAAAAGCGTAAAGACTCCAAAGGCTAGATTTTTTTTACACAATTAAAATATGGTGCCTTTTTTATCGCCAGTATAGAACATTCGTACCACCGAAAAATATTTAATACAATTTATATATTTAAAAAAAAATCTCCTACCTCAATAATTGAACTGTGTTCCCACTGTGATGTCTTTATTTGTATTTTTGTTTTGTTTCGTTTTGTTGTGTCTGATTTTGCTTTCTTTAATTATTATTTTTTTGGGTCCGCATTCTGTCAATTTTGGATTCCGGGTGTCATCTTTGCAATTATCTTTACATACAGTTTTAAATATCACGTTTGTCAGGGATTTGTTCTCGTCTCAAAAGAGGAGACAAGAGAAAAACTTTTCTTTGAAAACTTTAGCAACATGGTTCACGCAAAGTGTCGGAAGATATTATATTGCAGAGCATTTCATTTGTTTTTTAAAAATAGTACTAGCATCGAGTAAATATATTACTGCAATTTTTATATTATCTCTTTTTACGACACACGATCGACGTACCAGTGGCTAGTTCCGCTTATCTCATTTTTTTTCGACCTAATTATTTATGCTTGCTTCACGACCTGAAAGAAAGAAAATAACATATTATAGGGGCCTTTATACATATCATTATAGACCTCTTGCTAGGCATGTGTCATTTATTGAACAAAAAGATCAAATTTCCTCTTCTGCAAACATGACATGCAGCTAATGTATAGCGCATTGTTGTCAGAATCAAAGCAGGGATCTATACCTAATTTGGATATCTGTGCGTCGTGCATGACATGAAGTTAAAAACATCGGTGGGCCGCTGACCTATAAAAAGGAGAGGTAAACACGTGCGTGCTTCGAAACCTCCACTTCAGCGTGACAGCAGCAGTTTCCGTGAACCAATAACGGGAAATCCTTTCTTCAACACCATGAGAGTTGAATTTCGAAATGTGTCAGGGGAAGCACAATGAATATGTTACACGATTGTAAAGTAAGAGTCTAATTATCTTCATGTGATTTTGAAGTATGTTTTCTGAAAGCTCCGCTGAAGCTGAGGCAGAACTGCTGTCGAAGGACTTGACGAAGGTAACGAAACTAGCTTGGACAGTGTTTTGGTGTAGAGAGACTAAAGTAAGGCAAAGTTCACAGGCAGGTGTTTGAGTCGTGTGTGTGCTGTGTGTACGTTGTTTGTGCGAGGTAGCCTACACCTGTTGCATTTACTCATCCCATTTTGTAGCATCCCGTTTAATAGATGTGTGTTCATTGTTCGATCTTTTGAGTAACGATTTTCAAAACAATAACACGGCAGTCTTAATATGTAGAAGATAAGAAGGTGTGAAGTAAACAATTCAACCAGCCTGTGGAATCACACAGTCATCGTACTCATACCATGTCAAGCGTGGGTTAACAGGTAGGCCTGACCTTAAATAACATACTGTACTGGTACAAGGTGTTCCGCCTAGCTGTGTTAACGTACAGCTGTGTCAGACAAAAATGGCTTTGCGTGTCTTACTTGTTTCTGCTTTATCGTTGGCGGCCCATATCAAGGGGTTTAAATGCGAATCTGCGGTTTACTGACTGTTTCAAGTTGCCATATAGACGATCACACTCCTATTATGACTCCTAAAGCCACCTAAGAGTCAAAGCGGAAGAGGGCGCCGAGTGTCCTTTTCCCGTGTGGGGTTAAAAACAATCCCAAAAGCGTTTACTGATCTAACGTTACACACGAAGGCAACAGTGTGTTGTTACTAGATTAGAGCTATATCTAGTTCAGTCGATAAAGCACATTACTTTATAGCCTAGACCAACAGCACCTCGTGCCGGAAAGTGTGTGTGTGTGTGTGTGTGTGTATGTGTGTGTGTGTGT